CGCAGTTCTGGTTACTTTTAAGGTTAGAGTTTGTGCCTAGGGACCCCCAACTTTTTAAAACGGTTCTGATTAAAAGGAAAGGGTTATAAGAAGTAAGAACAAAAAAATATTTTGATGCCATATCTCAGTCCTCGGCTCATCAATAAGTTTACAAAAATCGCACATATTAAAAGTGTTTATCAACAAATTACAAAACAAAATATTAAACTCCAACATGATATCAGGTTTGGGAGATATTGGCATTTATACTTTGAAAGAATAACCCGTGCCGTTATTCTCGTCCCAGTGTCCAGTTTAGTATAGCCCTATCATGTAACGTCGACCATGATATGCGGTGGGAATGGAGCCTCATGCATATATCAAGACTCGACGTCTTACATTTATTGCGTTTACAGGAAAATGTGCACTGAAGATTGTTATGACAAAATAAAAATGTATACACATCCAAATACCACCGTTTTGTGATGTTTTTTTTTTTTTTAAATAGAAAATATTTTTCTCACATTGCATCGTACAATTACTAAATAAAACTATGGAGCAATTAAAATATATTCTGTTTTATTTATTTTATATGTACGGATTTAAAAGAGGATATAAAAATGGCAACAAGCAAAAAATATAGCTCTCAATGTGATTTTATAATGAATTGTACGTTCTTCATTTTCTTGTGTCGAACATATTAAATCAGCCTTATTCCATAAGTAGAAAGTGTAGAAATTATATTAAATGTCTTTTATCAGAATCAGATAGCCACTAACCCCGATTTTGTCTGGTACAAGAGCAAGTTCATACCTGCTCCTTTTGATATCCGATATCATGCACTGATGAGCTAACCAAATCAGTAACACACGAAACTGAGTAATGCATCAGTTTAGGATAATATATTCTCCAAGAATCAGTCTCAGGTTCTGGGGATAGTGAACGGACAGAGTACTCTCCCCCAAGTCCCATCCTATGCTGGATTGAAAGTTCGCTCACTGGGTTCAGACTCAGGAATGTTCTCGGAACCCAACTTATCCTTACCGAACATGGTGCCTTTCATCTCATGGTAATTGGTCCCTGATGTCCCACTGGTTTACTTGACCCAGAGTAGAGGTGGCGCTGCAGCTTGTGTCCCGCTATTACTTTATTTCCAAGAAGCACCCACCAGGAAGATTGTAGATATAACATCATCAAGGTGAGGCAAGCAGTCTTGTCTTCATTCTAGAACTTCTAGAATACGTCGAGACCCTAATAACCACGATGAATAAGTGCGGAAATTGGTGCTTTGTCGCTTCTCCCGATGATTATAATAATGCCCATGCAGACTTCTACTCGATGTATTAGATGATGATGCGTTATCTATCATCTTCGATTCTAATGTGTTCGATGTAGGAAAAGCTCAAGTGACGCCCACCAGTTTCTCTCATTTTGATAAAGTAGAGGAGGTCTGTTCTTTTGTTAAAGCGGTAAATAAAGTATACCGCATGCTATCCGCGGATTGGTATCTGAAGCCATCTGGCGTGCGACCCAATAGTTATCCTTTTCTTATTGGATGCGATCTCTGGGACTCTATCACAGCCAACTCTCATGCTTCTTTCCGCATTCCTTATCGATAGAAGAAATATCACAAACGATCACTACAGGACAGGACTTGTCTTGATGGCAAAGAAAGTGGTCTGTTCATCTCTCTACCTTGAAGCCTATGGTCTCTACTTCTTGTTACCGGGTATAGTGCCCGAAATCGCTTTATAACCTCTCCAGCTGGATGCATGTGCATCCCAAGTGGGTATTACAACTAAAACCGGAGCATTCCTACCCATTAAAACAATTGAAGTCATTGAACGGAAAGTTTCGTTTCAGATCACCATAGCTTCTTTACAACCGGTACTGGAAGCTGCTGTCACCCCACAAGCATTCAGTTTTTGTCGTAGTGGCCGATAGTTAACACTTTCACCGTTACACTGATTTGGTCTCCTCGAAGATATTATATAACCATGATAAAGACCTTAGGGATGTTCCCTTGGAAGTCCAAAAGCTCTAAATAGGACTCGTCCCCATTGGGACTTAACAAGAGTTGATTGATTAGCAAAAACAGATCCTTCACACCCCCTTATGGCCTTTCGCAACTGTCCAGAAAGCGTGCTAATGTGAATTGCGCCCACGAGCCACTAGCAAAATTCTTTAAATTGATGCAGACCTAGTTAAATGCACAGCCTCAAGTGAGAACTCCTCCTTGTCAGACAGGTCCTTTGCGTGGAAGTCACCATGGAGCCTCCAGGAGAAAGTTCTCTAACCCGCCTTCCTCCCTTACGAAGGTGTAGTGGGCCTAGGAACTCACACTGTCTCCTGTCGTGTATACCTCTCCCAAAATTACCTGTAGGTGCTCGTCTAGGCAACTTTTCGTTGGCATCAATAATGATGGAATGGTTCTTTCTGTTTAAACATGGGTTACCAACTTCAGTTTCAGGAGAAAACAACCCTCACTATTAAAGATCTTCACCATCCATGTTCTTTCACCAGTCCCATATCCATGCCACATTTAACTAGAGTACACTGAACTCAAACATGTATTCCTTAATAAAATAACCGTAATGTTTCAGATTACAGATATCATTTTAGCAGACGGTTGTACAAACGACATTGCAGCAGATGTTTAGACATACAGTAATATAAAAGACGAGTAGATAGACAACATTTTAGGAGATGATGAGATTGACATTTGGCAAATGATTAACATAGTATTTGGCTAAATGATTAATAGATTTTTGCAATATGATTAGACACTAATTTATTTCTGCATATGATTTTACACACAGTAAGTTAGCAGATTCCTCGGCATACAATAATTTAGCAGATGATTAGACAGATGGTATTTTTGCAGATGATCGGATATGAAGTATATTGCCAGATGATATGACAGACTAATTTAGAAAAAAATTAGACACATAGAATTCTACCAGATGATTCAACAAAAGTTCAGCAGTTGATGAAACACGCAGTAATATTGAATATCACTGGTCAGATAGAAATTTAGCAATGTTGAGACATGCATTATTTTGGACATTCAGTAGTTCAACTAGAGAGACAGTAATTTACCAAATGACTAGACATACATTAGTTTTGGTGATGACTAAAGAAACAGTATCTCAGCAGATAATTAGACAAGCAGCATTATACCGGATAATTTGATAGACTTTCAGTTTAGCAGATGATTAGACAAACAGTATTATACCGGATAATTTGATAGACTTTCAGTTTAGCAGATGATTAGACAAACAGTATTATACCGGATAATTTGATAGACTTTCAGTTTAGCAGATGATTAGACAAGCAGTATTATACCGGATAATTTGATAGACTTTCAGTTTAGCAGATGATTAGACAAGCAGTATTATACCGGATAATTTGATAGACTTTCAGTTTAGCAGATGATTAGACAAGCAGTATTATACCGGATAATTTGATAGACTTTCAGTTTAGCAGATGATTAGACAAGCAGTATTATACCGGATAATTTGATAGACTTTCAGTTTAGCAGATGATTAGACAAGCAGTATTATACCGGATAATTTGATAGACTTTCAGTTTAGCAGATGATTAGACAAGCAGTATTATACCGGATAATTTGATAGACTTTCAGTTTAGCAGATGATTAGACAAGCAGTATTATACCGGATAATTTGATAGACTTTCAGTTTAGCAGATGATTAGACAAACAGTATTATACCGGATAATTTGATAGACTTTCAGTTTAGCAGATGATTAGACAAGCAGTATTATACCGGATAATTTGATAGACTTTCAGTTTAGCAGATGATTAGACAAACAGTTTTTCAACATATGACATAGTCATTTAGCAGATGAGTGGTCAAACTAATTTAGCAAAGGACTAGACGTTATGTTAACAAATGATTAGACAGTAATTTAGCAGATGATTATATGATGTTATAGATGTTTGGACAAATGGTATATTAGCAAATCTTTAATTTGGGTACATTTTTTTAGAGGGGATATTGTTATTAGGATAAGTATTGTAGTAGTCATTATTTCTCAAGAGCTTATACAGAGGTGAATAAATTCTAAAGATAATTCAAAACGTCATTCCCCCAGCATTATGCGATCTAGTCCAATAAATCAACACGCTAAATATGTGTTGATACTGATGAACGATATATGGGTAAGATATCAACTGTACAGTAAAATGTGTAATTTGTCTGCAGGCTAGTCTTTCCGGAACAAACCTGCGTACACTTTAGATACATGCATGTAATTGGTAACATTCATCTCTAGCGCGAAATTCAAAATGGCCACAGGACAGATGGTTGTGCTATTTCACATGGATTTAAAAGCCATCAAACATAGGATTTGCTCCGGAAATGTAATGTACATATCACCAAAACAAACTTGCAGCTGACTGTAGCTCCACAACCGCGAAAAATACCGGCAAGTGTATATAATGTACACCGATGTGTGCATCCAAACGTTTCAGCAGATTGTTCCAGCTTTTAATGAATAGGCGATATCTGTCCCTAAACCGAAAATCAATATCATCACGGAGGAGGTGGAGGGAGAGGGAGATTTATCGGTGTACATGGGATCCAAATCCTTATTCAGGTTACAAGAGGGGCAGTACTGTATTGATGTATTTGATGTGAGAAACTACTGCTGTTCTTTCAGAACGACGTATGCTGTCGCATTTAGTAATACATAACTACAATGCTGACCTTCGAAATTATTTTCTTAATTTTGGTTAAATAAGTTTTACATAAAATAAGGACTCGTTGTCTTCTTTCAGCTATTACACAATTAGGAATGTAAGTTCACCAGGCCTTAATTTTTCCAGGATAACAACATGATTAAATCCTAAATTTAACACGTTTTGGAGATTAGAACTAATTGTTTATTTTCTTTCTTTTTTTTACCTTGGGATTGGAGAGAATTAGGGATGGTGGCTGGTGGATGATTAATTATATGATATTAGGAATGTTCAGCCTATTTGGGTATGTATGCCTGGAGGTTCATTAGTAGGTGCTTAGTGGCTAGAGCGTCCGCCTCTGATGCTGGAGGTCGAGGGTTCAAACCCGGACCAAGTAATACCAAAGACATAAAAATAGAAATAACAGCTATATCGCTTGGCGCTCAACATTAAGAGTTTAGTTTTAGGGCTGGTCGGCCTTGTGTCAGGATAATGTTGCTGGTAGGGACATGATAATACATGTCTGCTTCATGATGTCCCAGTGTTTGATATCACTATAAACTGTCACACTGCAGAAATCGTGGAGATATGAATAAAAATTGTTAAGGCTACATTAAAAATCCAAATCTCTCTCTCTCTCTCTCTCTCTCTCTCTCTCTCTCTCTCTCTCTCTCTCTCTCTCTCTCTCTCTCTCTCTCTCTCTCTCTCTCTCTCACACACACACACACACACATTATTTTGATTAACATGTGATCTACATACAGTATATGATTTGTTTTTATCTTCAAAAAGTTTTAAAAATAATTTGTCACCTCTGATGCATTGTGTCTGAAGCAAAATGATGAATAATGCACTTAAATTTGCTTAACAAAGAAGACCTCATGCTCACTTAGCTTTTTTAAGCAGTTAGCATACAACCAGTACATAACTATCGTCTCTCCCATAGCTTAAAATTTCTGAGTGCTCATGATCAAACCTATATTTAACAATATAGACAAGATCTGGATGCCAGCATCTGTGTATTGAAAATGATATTAGCCTAGGCATTTCTGGATATAAATGGTTTTGAAACGTGCTTTCAATTTCGCACCAAAGAGTCAGGGGCTAATTTCAGTAATAAGTGTTCCAAACTCAAATCACAATACTGTAAGTGTCTCATGAATTTTCACTTCGTATTCTAAAGAAATAAATTGCTTGTTGATTTTACTTAAATTATTGCCATCACTTTTTCCTTTTGTTACATATTTTAAGACTTTAGAGTATTAACATTAGTTGTATACACATTCAACTTTTTATGACTAGACAAAGGAAGAGTCTGAAAGAGACGAAAGCAGAAATTTGACATTAACTGTTGTATTGAATTGGATTCAACCCGATTACGCCTGTATATAATACAGCCTTAATTGGCGTCTAATTCTTGTGTGGTTGCATATTTCAGCTTCAGTTTCAAAGTGTAACATTTTTCTGATTTACTAAATGTAGAATATTGTTCTCGCTAGTTAACTTTGATCCTTTTTACCTGTCAGAAAACGCACAAATTAAAATTTAACGTGGGATTTGATTATTTGAACGCCACACGATCATCAGATGTCTTTGAGATAAAGGAGCAAAATTGTTACTCCGGAAATGTTTTCATATCTGTATTGTTTTTGCTTCATTGCATATGATCAGTGTCTCTGCAACGAAACTTGAGCCACGCTAAAGGTATGATGGCAGTAAACTCTAAATGAAAATCGGTAAAGGTTTAACAAAACTCTGGCTGTAGATAGTTTTTGCTTATATACGAAATATTCATAAAGAGAAGGAAATAAAAAAAAATACATATTTAAGAAATCAATCTTACCTTCTTTCGTTTGTGGCGCCTTAATTGAGAAACTTTTCTTTTCATGATGTCCATGCATATCATACAGCCATACTTTAGCATCGGGAGATGAACAGGCTTGCGTTGAAAATTCAGATTCAAATTTAACTGCTTCATTTCATGATTTTTGCTCGTCCTGTATTTAAATTCGTTTTTACCAATTCTTCTGAATGGTGACTTTTTGTACAATGGACGTATTTTGGATTAGAAAATGAATAAAACTAGCTCGTAACTTCTTACTATAGCTTTCACGTGACTTGAAATAAACTTAACTTGGATTAGGTGCTAAACAAATTGGGCGGTTATTGAACACTGCTATGTATATTAATTGTTTCGAAATATATTCCTGCATCTTTAGAATGTTTCTTTCTCGCATTTCTTACTCTTTATCTAAACATTTAGAATACGAGGAATTAGAAGAAGCACACTAATAGCCTTGTTAAATTCCTTTGCGTTGAAGTTTAGTGTGACCGTAACAAATCCAACTTTACATTTAAATGTTCCTTGATTTTCAATATCCAGTATAGCGGAATATTCTTGCATATGCATGTCAGACCCTTCTGACGATAATGAATATACTTTCAAGAAAATGAGTCAAAGTTCTGTGTGTGTGTGTGTGTGTGTGTGTGTGTGTGTGTGTGTGTGCATTATATAGATCAGACATCACTCTTATTAAAGCCAATCGGTCACTTCTCCAACGTTGCAACGATGATTTGTCTAAATTATAAGTTTATCCCTTCTGATGTTAGTGTTACCCAGGAACTGCATATCTCGCGGTAATCGTCACATTTTGGTGACTTTGCATACAAACGTAACATTTTCATGACATTAAAAGTGCCCCTAGGATGAACTGACTTCAGCACAGATTCTTGTACGTGATCAATGATCCCTGCTAAATGAACGCATTGTATTATAAATACGTCTTTAGCTTTACATATGTGTAGCTCTACGGGTCAATGCTTAAACGTGGAAACTGAAAGCAATGACATCTAGAGTAATCTTTGCTCAGTAAAACATAAAGCGCTCAGTGATTGATGATGACGTCGATTTTCTTCTTCAAGTTATTATTGATCAGCGAAAATCGGATATATAATAATTCCTCTAGATTGGTATTGCTGGTTGGAAGGACAATAACAATAGCAGCTTGATTCTTTGAAACACAAATTTGGCCTAAGTCTTAATCCATAAGTAGGCCTAATTGTAAAAATATTGTTTCTAATCCATTATTAGACTTTTATGTTTCCAATTTTAAGTTAACGAAAAAACCAATATATTTTACAAATTCTTGAAGATGTATCGAACGAATTTGGTAAGGTAAAGTTTGCTTATATATATATATATATATATATATATATATATATATATATATATATATATATATATATATATATATATATATATATATATATATATATATATATATATATATATATATGCTCATCTAGGTATGTCTTGGCGTCACTATGGACGCAGTTTTTGAATTCTTCAGTTAATACGAGTAGTGTGGGTTTATCATAATTTTGGTCTTCTTGGCTGAGCATCAACTATTTGTTCTGTTTTCCTTGTACATTCGACATGGGTCTCTCTATGTTATTTTCTACAGTTCCTAAATATTTGTCGACATACCTCAGATACCATCTCAATACCCTTCTAAATCCATTTGTAATCACAGCATAATCAGCACTTTATTGTACCGACAGTGTAGTGCAGACTCTACGAGCTTTGCCAATAAATACACTTTGTAATAATAGAGTCCACTGCACTTTTGGCCATTGCGAATTTTCAATAATTTTCTCAAAATGAGGAAAATATTTATCTACTTAATTTTCTTTAAAAAGGGATATGAATGTAGTATCTCTGGCAAGATCAAAACCCGAACTTTCCGCTTAATTCTAATCCTTGCATTTTTTTTTCTTTTTCTCTTTGTATTTGCACTTGTTGCTCTTCTCTTGGTCTACCTTCTTTCTCATTTTGAATTTTTATTTGTATTTACCTCTTCTCTTTCTCCTTGTTCCTTTTTCAACGACTCTCCAGCTTAGATGACATCGTGAACGTTTGTTGGTTTCATTCAAGATTTCACAAATATGTGAAACTAAAATACAAGGGACTAAGAGCGAAAAATAGATACAGTATAAATAAACAAATAATTTATTTTCCTATAATACAAAGTGAGAATAAAACTTGCAGTATGGTAAGTATATACCCTGTTATGTATATTTAATTTAATTGTTTGGGTTTTAGTTTTTATTTAATTTCATTACATGCTATTGTAATGTAACATTATTGTTGTACTTATCCTTGTACAAAAATTAGTTTTTTTCTCCTTGACCCAAAGTGACTTTTTTATTTTATTCATTGTAAACAACTAACACATAGCTAAATTATTTTCTCTGTGTTTTGACTTAGTATTAGGATCATTATAATAGAAGAAGTAAATATGTTGATTTGGGTCTACGTTTTGGAATTTTCTGAGTGTTAGGTCTTTAATTTTGAGTTTATAAACACTCAGGATCATTCTAGAAGGTTATTTTTCATTAGGTAATTTTTTCTTTATCAGAAAATGCAAAATGTGACCTGAGATAAGTACAGAACTATATAATCTCGTAATTGTGAGGACTTGGTCATTCGTGCTTTAACATCTAGCACTTTCAAGTTGTATTATATTGTGACCAGCTGAGCTGAATTTCATTTCTTGAAGTTATTGAATTCAAGTGATTTTCTTTCCTCTGGAAGTACAAAATTGCGCTGATAAAATTTTTGGATAAAGACATTCACTAGAATTTATAGTGAATTCAAACTTGGAATTATATTACTGTGATTCAACAAAAGACTTGACTTATCAACACTCTACAAACTATATCAGACACATCATCGGCTTCAGGTTTTAAATTTTTGTGGGACTTGTACTGAGTTTTATTCAGAACTTTAAATAATAGGACTTGTGTCTGTAATTCTTATGATATTTTGGGATTTAATTCGTAATACACTAAGTTCTTCTTTTATCATTTTCACTTTGTATTCTAGGTAAATAAATTATTTGTTAAAGTTTACAAAGCTTGTTGTCTTTCACACTTTTCTGTTACTTATTTTAAAAGCACAGACTCGTAACAATCCCAAGATGTCCTAAAAGTTATATTACAAACCAAAAAGTATTGAGTATTCCAAATGAAATCCAATAATGAATGTGTTAATACAGAAATAGCCTGGAATTATTTGATGTGCTAACAATCCTGATGAATCACAACTATATTATCCAAAAAGTCCTCGAATGATTTGACAATAGTCCAACAGTATCAATGACTACTTAGTAGTTCTTACATATATATAAATATATAATTTAAACAAATAATGTTTCTTAAATTTTAGCTGAACACAACGAAAGACTGATTCCAATACAGGTGTTAAAATAAGAATGAATAACAACCTAAGAGAGAATAACAGGACCAGGATAAGAGTCAAACTTTCATATTTAGAACATTCTCAGTTATAAAATAAGATCATGTCTTTTGCTCAGTTTAATAAATTTTAATAAAGTACA